TCTCGCCCTCCCTCCCTCCTTCTCTGGTCAAATTGAAATAAACAATGAATAAATAAATAAAGTTAAATAAAATAACTATTTTTAAAAATTTATTTTCTGGTAGCAGCATAGAAATTACTTCGGTACTCAAATGTATTCACTGTCACTTCTTATGTTTCTTTTTGTTTTTTTTTTTTTTTCCTTTGGAGAGTTTTTTGTTTGTTTGTTTGTTTGCTATAGGCAATGTGCACTCACCAGAAAGACAGAGAAACAGAAAACAAGAAATCAACCCCCAAGGGGGATGGCCATGCCCCAATCTCTCCTCCATTCTCCTCTTGGGATCTTGGGCATGCATGCACAAGTGCCTGGCATGAGTTTAAGCCACCAGGTCCAGGACTCAAACCATGGTCAACTACGTGGGAGCCAGCAACATAGCCATTACTCCAACTGCTGGTCCTTTATGTTTCATTTTTTCAATGAATTATTTTTATTTAACTTTATGTATCCATTTATTTATTTATTTTTAACTTGACCAAAGAGGGAGAGAGAGAGAGAGAGGAGAGAGAAAATGAGAAAGCAAGCCACCAGGTCCAGGACTTGAACCATGGTCAGCCATGTGGGAGTCCATGCCACCTGCCGGCCCCTTTTCTCATGTTTCAATATAAATGACCCAAATCAAGAGTGCATGAAAGAGTAAATGACAGCCACAGTTAACATTCCCTGAAGTATGTGTAAAGTAGACGTTTCCTCCCTTCCTGACTTGCCCTGAACCATGCGCACTGGGAGGATTTGGTGTTACAGAGATCCCCGAGGTGAGGTAGAGCTATTCATTGAACTTGCAGGTGATTGGAAGAGTATAACTAAAACACGTTCAAAACACTGCAGTTGTTTTTGCAAAGAGCTCTTGATAAGTGTTTTGAATATAGTAAACATTTTTGAGTCCACTGGAGAGTTGGAATTCAGAATAAATACTACCTGGAGGTTTGTTCTGTGTTTGACTTTTCCTCCTCTGGGCCTGGTCTGAGTATTACACTGCCCTAAATAATGTATTTCATCCGCGTGCAATGATGTAAACAGCACCTTTTTAAAAAAAAATTCTGCTGACCTGTTTTTTCTTTTATGTAAATGTGATTTCTCAGAAGATGATATTAAATATTATTCTACTTCTGTTTTTCAACTGAATTAATTAAAATTAAATGAGGGGGGGACCAGCAGTTAGCATAATGGCTATGTCGCTGGACTCCCATGTAGTCGACCTCAGTTCGAGTCCCGGACCTGGTGGCTTAAAACTCACACTGGGCGCGTGTGCGTGCGTGCCCAAGATCCCGAGAGGAGAATGGAGAAGGTATTGCGGTGTGGCCATCCCCCCTGGGGGGTGATTTCTCGCTTTCTATCTCTCTGTCTGTCTCTGTCTGTCTGGCGAGAGCACAAGTCCTATAGCAAAAATCTCTCTTAAAAAAAAAAAAATTAAATGAG